TACTACTACTACTACTACTACTACTACTACTACTACTACTACTACTACTACTACTACTACTACTACTACTACTACTACTACTACTACTACTACTATTGGTATGTGACGATTGTTCAGGCTGCGGAGACGCGCATCACAGAATACAATCTACTGACGCCGTTCTACCGCGGGGGTTGGGAGGTTCGCTTCAGCTCGCCATCGCGCCGTTGTCTCTGCCACGGCTGGGGCTATGCATCGTCGCTTGAAGGCGTCTGGGCACAGGGCACTGAAATACGGTGAACACTTGTACATCTACTATCGGACGACATGGAATGCTAACGGTCCTTGCAAAAGACTGTATTTCACGACATCTGCTGGACGACTCGTTGTCTAGTTGGTGCATAGTGCTGGATGATGTTTTCAATAGGGTGGGTGGGTTAGAGCTCGACATCACGCGCATGGTAGGTTCTAAGGGCGGCGTGAAGCAAACATGTCCATTGACCCAGTACTAAATTGACTACCTGTCTGTGTCCCACAGAATGCAGGATTGCCGTCTACAACGGCCTTGAGCCCTTCCTTCTTCTCAGTAGACCCAGAAATGACAATCTTTGTGAGAGATTCAATGCTGAAATTGTGCAATTCGCCTGCCCGTGTTCATTTTGAACTACCGTTGTACTAGAGATGTCGTCCCCCCTCCCATTTCATCCTTCTTCTGCCGAGACGATCACAAATTTATGGCCTCTACGGCCTCATCTAGCAGACCTACATTTCCGACGTCCTAAAGAGAGACTCCACCCTCGCTGCCGTCGCTCTTAACTTCACCAGACGCGGCGCTGTTTTGGGCTGCACGGGCCGTGTCTGGCTGGGCGGCTGTTGACGATGACGGGCCGACCACCGACACTGGCGGAATGGACGTTGTGGCAGGCGGCTGGGGATTCTCTTGAGTGCTGATGTGGAGCCTCGCTGTAGCACTGCTGAAGGGCTCGGGGTGTCCGAACAGGCTGCTGCTGTTCTGGGCAGTGCCGTTCTGGGCTGTACCCATGTACTGGGATGCTAAATTAGTGGAGAAGTTGGCGCCGACGCCTGGCCAAGCAGCACTCTGGGACTCGGGGAATAGGCTGGGCGGTGTTGTGTTGGTATGTTGGGCAGCAGCATATCCGAAGAGACTGGGCTGGACAGGTGCAATGTTGATTGGAGGCGCTGACCCAAACAAGCCGCTACTTGGTTGTGAGACTGGAGGTATACCGAACAAGTTGGTAGAAGGCGGAGTGTAGCTCTGCATTCCAAAGCCCCCAACCAATCCGGTACTGGGTAGTGGTCCCCGAATAGTAGGCATCCCAAGTAGTCCAGAGCTAGGTGGGGCAGCCGTACTCTGAGTGCGTACACCCCCAAACAAGCCACCTCCAGAGGGCGATGCCGTGCCATATAAAGGGCCACCGAACAAGGGGCCTGCAGATGGGGTAGCAGCGGTCTGAGTTCGTACGCCCCCAAACAAGCCGCCTGCAGAGGGAGCAGTCGTGCTCTGTCCCAGTGTACCAAACAATCCGCCTCTAGAGGGAG